CACATATTTGCACCCGTTCTAAATGAAGGTGGCCCAACAGAATGCTCAAATTATAAAATGATATCATTAATATCACATGCAAGTAAAATTTTGCTAAAGACCATCCAATAATAGTTGCAGCAGCACATTGACAGGCAGCTGCCAGAGGTTCAGGCCAGTTTCCGAAACAGACATGGAACAAAGGATATCATTGCTGATGTGAGATGGATCTTGGCTCAAAGCAGAGAATACCAAAAGGGTGCTCACTTGTGTTTTATTGACCATTCAAAGGCCTTCGACTGTGAGTCATAACAAACTATGGATATAGCCTTGAGAAGAATGGGAATTCCAGAACACTTTATTGTGCTCAGGTGGAACCTGTACATGGATCAAGAGGCAGCTGTATGACCAGAACAAGGGCCTACTGCATGGTTTAAAATTAGGAAAGGTGTGCATCAGGGTTGTATTCTCTCAATATACTCATTCAATCTGTATGCTGAACAGATAATCAGAGAAACTGGATTCAATGAGAAGAATATGGCCACAAGACTGGAGGAAGGCTCTTCAATCTCTGATAAGCAGATGGCACAACCTTGCCTGTTGAAATGGGGACGACTTGAAGCACTTGCTAATGAAGAACAAGGAAAAGTCCATCTTAAAACAAACTTTTAAATTAAGATGGGCTCCTTTGAGATCAAGATCGCTTTCAGTAAGGACTACAACTCAATGTAATGAAGACCCCAATCCTCACAACTAGATCAGTAGGTAACAAACATGATAACCAAACTGAAGAGTAAAGTTGCCAAGGATTTCATCTTGTTCGGATCCACAATCAATGCTCATGGAAGCAACAGCCAAGAAATCAAATGTTGCATTGCAATGGGTAAGTCTGCTGCCCAAGTCCTCTTTAAAATGTTGAAAATCAAGGATGTTACTTTGAGAACTAAGGTGGGCTTGATCTGAGTCATTGTTTCTGATTGCCTCATATGCATGTGCAAGTTGTACTTTGAATAAGTGAGACTGAAGAAGAATTGATACATTTGAATTATGGTCCCAGAGAATAATCTTGAAAGTACCGTGGACTGCCCAAAGAACAAACCAATCTGTCTTGGGAGAAGTACAGCCAGAATGCTCTTTAGAGGCAGTTATTCAAACTCTGTCTCAAGTACTTAGGACATGTTATAAGGAGAAAGCAGTCCCCGGAAGAGGACATCATGCTTGGTAAAGTAGAAGGGCAGCAAAGAAGAGGCAGGTCCCTGACAAGATGGATTGACACAGTGGCTGCAACAATGGGCTCAAACACACGAACAATTGGAGGAGGATGGTGCAGGACTGGGCACTATTTCCTTCCATTGTTCATGGGGTCTCTGTGAGTTGGAACCGACTTGACAGCATCACTTAACAACAACATGTGTATTTTTGAATCAACTGTAAATTATGAGCACCAACAGAAAAGTGAAGATAGGAATGAGAAATATACAAAAAGACAGCCAAGAGACATAAAAACAATTTAACCTGACCAACCATAAGAGACACACAAATTTAAACAATAATCTGTTACATTTGTTTTACTGCCATATCAGCAAACTCCTTTAATGATGTGATCTGGTGTGAGGGAGGACACATTTCAAAATGAACAGAGGTGATGAAACCTGGTACAATTTTTCTGGAGGATACTTTTACAACTGTTTCCAAAGCATTTGATTCTACCATAACCTTAGTCTACAACCACAAGCATTCATCTCTTAAAAAATAATTCTGTAAAAAAAAAAAAATTCTGAAATTAAAAAAAGATTAACAAAGGATCTTCATTACAGTATAATATAAAAGAGAGGGAAAATGATATACAATGTTAATATCTTAAACAAAAAATTTGTTAAATTAATTTTGACTATGCAGACAATAAATTACTAGGCAGCATTAACAACGAAGTAGAAAAATAGCATGTAATAATGTGGTAATATATTGCAGAATGAAATAAAATCTCAATTGATATTTTTTAATTGACTCTTTTAAATGGAAGAGTACAAGGTAAATACAATGTACTCTACGACTTCATGTTATTTGTGTAAGCTATGTTTATCTAAGATGTTATAAAGTATCACACATCATCTTTTTGTCTTGCTCACCTGCATTTCCCAATCTTTCAGTAATAAACACTGTGGCAATCATATTATCTATCTCCCACTTCATTTCTAGATAACAGAACACTGTTGTTTGCGAAGGCATTGAAGAAGATGCAGGAAAGGAATTATTTATCAGTCTAAGCCAATCACAGGAATCTTTCAATTTTCCTAATATCTCTTGCATATGACACATTTCCAATCAAAAGATTCTGATAACAAGGACAGATGGGACTGACTCCACCTCTCCCCACTCTTCCTGTCTGGGATGTAGAAGTGAGGCTTGAAACTGTGAACAGCCTTCTTTCAAATTCTTGGGAAAGGCCCCCAGCGTCACTCCTGGCCCCGAAACTTCTGAGCCTCTGAATCATCAGCGGGAACTGCTCACCTTCAACCTTCATAGCACATACAAAAGAACTCCCTTGAGATTCCGTTACTCACAGCGGAAAAAGCATTCCTAATTAACATGAAAAGTTAGCGATAAGAGCACTGAAAAACAAGTTCACCTTACCTGTATATTCTAGAACAAGCCTATATCATTTTAAAAATAGAAACCCAGTACATGTTATTGTAAACTGCACAGTCATGTGGAGCACACTCACTCCTGTACCATGAGTCTCAGGTGACCTGGCAGCTCTGATGTTGCTTGGTTGTGCGATCTTGCAATAAGTGCCTCATCCTTAGCCTCCTCCTCTGTGTAAAGACAATGAATGGGACGACTCTTAAAATCCCTTGCTAATAGCTCTGGCTTTCTATACTGCTCACTTCAGTCTGTCTTTCTCCTTAAAGATAATGACCAACTGAAAATAAGCTCCGTGCAAGGAAACCACTCAAGAGTGAGAAACAGGTACTTGGCTTTCCTGGACCTGAAACAAATTGCACAGGGGAAATATGGTACCACATGATCACTGTATAACTTTCTGTGTAGTGCCAGAATTCCATCCGATGTGACTCTCTTCTGGTCCAAGTCTGAGTGTTAACAGTGGGGTGAGGAGCGGAGTGCAGCAGGGTAGTCAAATCTACATTTCACATATTGGAAAATGAGGAGCAGCGTGGGTTTTTTGGGTCATTTGGGACAGTCAAGTGAAAGAGATGGCACTAAAACTCCATTTTCACTTTGATTTTGCCATGAAAAACCAATTGCTGAAATTGAGTGTAAATTTAAGATCACCCCAGCTACACAGGATTTTCAATGGCTGATTATTTTTTGGAAATAGAACACTAGGCCTTTTCTCAGGGGACTCAATCTCCAGCCTCTTGGTTAACAGCCAACCTCAGCACCATTGGCACCACCAGGAATTCCTCTGGTGTGAAACTTGAATTAATTTCAGCCAAATCTAATTAACACCAAGCACCTACTCTGTGTCAAGCCTTGAGAAAGGAAGCAGGAGAAGGGAGCAGAATAAGGAGACTGTGTTCTACAGCAGGAGAAAGACTGGGCTTTCTACTCTCTTAAAGGGTTAAGGTCTCTGAAACCCACTGGGCAGTTCTACCCTGTCCCATAGGGTCTCCGTGAGTCAGCATCCACTCAATGCCAGTTAGTATGTACCTGTCCTTCAACTATCCTGCTAAAGGGAATGCTAAGCAATTCCTTTTGAGCCTGGAGTGAGCCTGCCAGGCCTTAAAGCTGTAGGAGAGAATAGGGCAGAATTCAGAAGGGGAAAGGGTGTGTGAACTTATCTTTAAACAATAAAGAAAAAATTTGCCAGGAAGATAAGCAATGATTGGGAGGAGAGACCATTCCAGGGACAAGAAACAACACAGGCATTGTCAGCCTGAGGGTGCTGGCCATTTGGCAGCTTAAACTGAGGGAAAGGGAAGACCTCAATTTCCTCACCTGTAACATATGGATAATGAGAGTACCGGTCTGCATATTTTGAATGAATTCATTCATTCATGGAAAGTGATTCACACAACATGGCCAAGTTAACTCAGTTGGTCTGACTACTTAGAGAAAAGAGTATTTAGTCCTTCCAACCAATGAGTTCCATTATAAGTAAGAGGAACCACCTATATTATGAGATGAAGACAAATGATACAATACATATGCTTTAAAAATATCAATAAGCTCGATCTGGTTTAAAAATGGGGAGCAATCTGGTTTAAAAATGGGGAGAGGCTGAGGAAAGTGCAAACATTAAGAATAAAAGTCGAGGAACAAGGACAGTTTCAGAGGCGACAGAAAGTGGTGCCACTATTTGTACGTTCGAAACTATAAAGAAGATGGACAAATTTTAAAGACAAGTTACAAAATTGACTCATGGAAGAGTAGAGCTTTTTTTGGTGTTTGCAGGAAAAATAGAAGCCCCCCGTGTACATTCACAACGAGAAGAAGATACACGCTTATGTAGAAGTTCATGGTCTGTATGCAAATGCAGCTGATCTCTGGGGGACAGGTCACTGGTGGAAGGAGGCGGTGGTTCAGGGAGAAGGAGACCTTCTATGGAGGGCGCTCTTTAAATAGAACATCCTGTGCTTTGATTCGAGTATAAGAAACACGAATTCCTTTTGTAACAAGGAAACACAGATTGTTGGCAAAGGGCCCAGAGGATGCCACAGGAAGAGGTCTGCGGTGGGCTTAAGGATGGAGATGGAATGCCGGGAATGGTTTGTCCCACCGGGAACCTGCGCTGAATAGATTCCCCCGCCCCGCCCATTGTTGGATTGTTTGCTCACTTTCGCCCCCTCTTCTCCCCGTCCCCGCCCCCATTTCCCACCCAGGGGACTGACACCCTGCTATCCGAGGAAGTTATATAGGAAAGCAAACGAACAGACAAAAACCTGAGCAAGGCAGAGCCGCAGAAAGAGTCACGGGACCTGAGTTCAGAACCGGGTCTCCGACCCGCAGCGTCAGCCTTTGGGAGGCTCCTTTCCCTGCCCGGGTGCCGATTCGCGCCCACCCCCGGGAGCTCCAGGATGCTCAGGCCAAGTTATTGGGTGAATGCGATGCCTGAAGATCTGGGGACGCGGGGGCGGGGCGGCGTTTTTCTGCCACTGCAGGTAGACACTTCCCACCCCCGCTGCTCTCTCCTTCCTCCTTCCTCCCCAGCACACACCCACACACCCTGGCCATTCTGGGGCCTGGAGAGCTGCTCTGGGGAGTCAGCAGTGCCTCACCAGCCAGTGGAGCCCAAGAGGTTGCTGGAGGGCTGGGGCCGCGCAAGTGACCTGCTAACCAGCAGCTCCGAGAGACAATTGCCATCTTTCTCTCATGCTTCAAAATCAAAACCAAAAAAACCTCCCCTCTTCCCACAGCAACTTGGAGGAGCGGGGAGTGATTTGAAAGAATTGACGCAGAGATTTTTATTGATGCACCTTGAAGAAGTTTTGGGCAAGCCACTCAGCAGGGCTCTCGAGGCCCGAGGTAACCCCAGCTCCCAGCCCCCAGTCCCAGTCAGCCTGGCAGCGCCCTCTGGCAGATCCCTTACCGGAGGTTGTGGGCAGGATCTTTCTGGGGGCATCTCCTGTCCATGCCCCAGACTTTTCTCCGGATGTAATGATACAAGCCGTGGCCTGGACCCAGGTGACCTCGCTTGGAAAGCGTCCCCACCAGGTAAGCGCACCCGGGGGTCTCAGCGAGAGTGGGATTGCCCAGCGCCCAAGAAGTCCAGTTGGTCAGCCAGAGGCTAGCGTGAGGGCTTGGTGGGGAGATTGCTGTATCATAGCAAAATGTGGGAGTCGGAAGTGAAAAACAGATTTTTTTTCATTTTCATTTTCCATTGACTCGTGGGGGTGAGTGCGCAGAGGCCTGGGATTTTGCAGGAAATGCTTAGGGAGCTTGTGTGAGCGAGAGACATCTGCATTTTCGAAATGTCTTAGGGTCTCAGTGAGAGGTTATGATCCTGAGAATGTACAAGAAATGGAAAAGGGTAGGAAGCTGAGAATTTCCGAGAAATTGTGGGAGAAGCACTTACAGCCTGGTTTCACCTGACCCCAACACTCAGCCTTGCGGAAGAGGCGCACAGACACGGGCAATAATGGACGCCGGCACAAACACCCCGACGCGCGCCGAGCTCGCGGCGTTCAGCACCTAGGACAGAGCCCGCCCGGGGCTGAGCGCAAAGCACAGCCGGAGGCCCGCGCGTACCCCTTCTTCCGCCCGGACAGCGGGGCTCTCGGTGGTGGGCGGCGACGCTGTATGGTATCGCCACCCCCAACCCCGCGAGAAAGGGCTCTCGAATCGCAAAAGCACACGTGGAACCCGATTTCTGATCGCTTCAAACTGCTTCCCGTGCCTGCAGAAGGAAGAGGCGGGATATAAAGCTATCCCCCAACCTAAATTTGCACCAGTACTACAGAGACATGGTGTGCCCCCCTGGCTTTCGGGAAGGCTACTCACACGCCTTCAAAATCGAAGATTTAATGAACGCTTACTATGGGCCAGCGACCTGTGCTTATGGTTCTGTGTGGATTATTTTACCGTTGTGAAACATCCTAAACAGGTGCACTGCTGTTATCGCCATTTTACAGACGCAAACACTGAGGCAGGAGAGGCTAAGGGACTTGTCCGAGTTTAGAGGCAGCAAGTAGTCTGGCTGCCTTCTTAAACTTTTTACCAAGCGGCAGCAATGGGAAAATGCGTCTGAACACAAGTCTCTCTGCAAAATAGCTCTGAACTTAGTATCCCAAGAAGCTGCAGCCACATAACCACTGTGTGTCCTTGGACAAAATTGGGTAATCTTTCTGAGCCTGAGGCTCCGAGGGGAGAAGGCTTGCAGAAATGGGTGGAGAATGGGATGGGAGCTGTCAAGGCGGTCGCGTGTGTAAAAAGACTGGGTCACCTGTGGACTGTATTGAGTTGAGGGCTTTAGGAAGGTAGAGCAAGAAGCGAGAGGCAGGGCCATTGACCAACAAAGGCACCCTCCAAAGGGGCTGGGCACAGTGCAGGGCCCCATGGTAGGCATTCTGGAGCAGCTGAATTCAGTATAGTAAACTCTAATGTTTTTTGGCAGAGTTTTTAGAGACTGTCCACACATTGCCCATCCTTATAAAAATGTTCACAAGACAGTCGGAGGAGTCCTTGGGGGCACAGATGGTTCATACTGGCATGCTAAGTGCTAGGTTACTAAGCAAAAAGTTAGTGGTGGGTTGGCAGTTCCCCCACACCTGGAGGCATCTCCTGAAAGGCCAGGGCTTTGACACTCCTGTGAAGCTCGGTGAATGAGTTGGATTTGACATTACAAGGCTTTTGGTTTGAAGGAAGGCAGGATAAAGGTGATTGGACTCCTTTGGCCAAATGATGCTCACCAAAGGTAGGTAACTCGCTCTAAATAAACTTAGCTACCTAACCTCAGGACTTGGATTAGAATGCAGGCCTCTTGCCTCTTTAACCTGTAATCCTCACATACACACAAACAGCTCCCCCTCCCTCCTCCCGCCACTCCGAGACCGATCAATCCTCAGGAGCTTGTTTTATGGAATAATTACAGCACTTGAGTATACTTAACTACTGTTAATATAGGCTTAACCATATGGAATAGATGGGGCTTTTTTCTTAACCACTTTTGACATACAGACACAGCAGGTTCCTATGAATCAATCCCTATTCTGTCCCCTCCCAAGGTTTTTAAAGCAATTTTCAAAGATCCATAAGATGCCAGGTTTACATATATAAAATGCAGTTGGGGAAATAGAGGAGAAATAAGATTGTGGATATAGCCAGAAAAAAGAGGAATGGAAACCTATCTTTTAAAGCCATAGAATTGTGTTTTGGGTCACTAAATATACTAACTTGTTTCCCCAGTCCCATCCTGGGAGGCTTGAGAAACTTTGAATAAATTTGCAGGAGTCCATGGACCCTTCTATTTTGCAGGATTTATTTTTCATTAAAACAAATTGGAATGATTTTAGAAGTCCAAAGCAATGCCTTAGCTCCGTGGGAGATCTACCACTGTGCCAAGTAAAAGTTAAAACAGAAATGCAATATTGCCATGGCCCAAGGGAGAAAGGAATGAGTGAATGGTATTTTGTCGGCATCGAAACAACTAGATGTTAGTTATATAATTCACGTACCACCTGCCTGTCAGTTTACCGTGCCATGGAGTTTGGATGAGCTGCTGTGAGGCTGGAAGTTACACCACCAGCATTTTAAAATACAGCAGTCTCCATTTTACAGACGCAAACACTGAGGCAAGAGAGGCTAAGTAACTTGCCCAAGTCTGAAATCCAGTGGAGCTACCAGACTACGAATGAGAAAAAAGTGCAGGCCATCACCTTCTGAAAAGTAGTGAGTGGAAATCTCATGAGTCACAACAGGACATGGTTTGACTCTCTTGCTTTCAACGTGTCATCGGGAGAAAGTGCTAGAGGAGGACACGGTGTTTGGTAGCGTGTGAGAGAGGATGCGGGGGACCCTCAAGGAGGTGAACAGGAGCAGTGCCCCCGACCGTGGAATCAGACACCCTGTCATTATGAGAAGCATGCAAGACTGGACAATGTTTCATTCTAATGTACATGAGGTCACCGAGAATCTATCTCATTTATAATGGATCACACGAACATCCAAATTCCAAACTCACTGCCATGGAGTTGATCCCAACGCACAGTGACCCAATCAGACCGGGTAGAACTGTCCCGGAGAGTTTCTGAGACTGCAACTCTTTACGGGAGCAGAAAGCACATAGGCACCATGATTCCTATCCCAGGCTTTTTACTCTCATGCTGAGTGTCACAGATCTATATATCTACCTGTAAGATTATAGCAAACTGAACAGTGGATAGTCCATTTAAAGACACTAGAACTAAAAAAATTAAAAAACTGGGATAGCCAAGCAATACATGGCTGTGAGCCACTTTAGCCTCCGACTGTCGGTGTGCCGCCTTAGTTGACGTAGAGCAAAGATGGAGGAAGCACGGGAATGAAGGAGCCTCGGGTCAAAGGAGCAAAGGCTCAATCTCTGCCTCTAGCCGCCTTATCTATAAACTAGGTGAGATGAAGGTGGCTCCTCTTGGCCTGAAAAGGCTAAGGCTTCCATGACTTTGTAGGCGATGGATTAATCAAAAGGCTTGAGGGGAAAGGTGGCAAACACATATTCACCCAACCCCTCCATCAGAGAAAGCCCCGGTTGTTTATTTATGTTGGTATGGGTGATAGTTTAGTCTTCAGCGTGTCTTTTCCAGCCCAGTGCCATATCAGGGTCTGTCAGCCAGTGTCGTGGTAGAGAGAAGTTGATCAGAAAACATCAGCTGAGAAGGGAGCGGAGCGGGGAAGGACCCAGGTAACCCTTGCTCACTTCTCAGTTTGATCTTCTTAATCACAAAAAAAGAACCACGCTGGCATTGCTTCTGTTCTTTACATTCAAACATGGCCTCTACAGAAGCCAACCAAGACCCCCAACCAAACTCGCTCCCTTCTAGCCCATGCCAACTCACAGCAACCCTATAGGACAGGCTAGAACTGCCCTGTGGGTTTCCAAAACTGTAGCTCTTTATGGGAGCAGGAAGCCTCCTCTTCTTCCATGGACCTGCTGGTGGTTTTGAACTGCTGACCTTGAGGTTAGCAGAGCAACGGTGGAACCACTATAGCAGAAGCCAAAGTATGTGGGATTTCAAGACTTGGGAGTTGGGTAGGCTCTTTTCAATGAGGCTTATTTACTTTCTGGCCAACGAGCTTGTTGTTGCTAGGTGTTGTGGACTTGATGTTGGGCTCACAGTGACTTATAGTAGGACTGCACCATGGGGTCTTCTTCTCACCATAGCCAGAGCTGCTTCCTGCAGAGCTGCCGGGTGAGCTCACTCCTCAGCCTTCCAGCTGTGGTGGTGTTGGGTGCTATCAAGTTGATTCCAACTCTTACTGACCCCTTGTGATAAGGAGAACTGCAATTAGTGCTTCACCAATGCACCACCAGGCTCCTTCCAACAAGCTTTGTTGCTTTTAGGGGCCCTTGAGTGGTTTCTGATTCAAAGCAACCCTATGTACAGCGGAACAAAATGCTGCCTGGTCCTGTACCATCCCCCAAATTGTAATGTTTGAGCCCATTGTTACCATCATTGTGTCAATCCTTCTCATTTAGGGTCTTCCTCTTTCTCGCTGACCTGCCACTTGGTGCAATGCGTTACTCTTTGGGCTGCTAATCACAAGTTCAGCAGTTCAAACGCACTAGCTACTCCGAAGGAGAGAGTTAAGGCTTTCTGCTCCCATACAGAAACCCACAGAGCCAGCGCTACTCTGTCCTTCAGGGTCACGATGAGTTGGAATGGACTCAAGGGCTGGAAGCTATTTGGCTTTCCCCTTAGAAACAATTGACTCCCCAGCGACACACAATAGGAGATATATTCCCAAATTAAAAGTAAACCAGATCTTGGTTAAATAGCAACTCCAGATTTCAAAAGCCTCTTCAGTTTGATTTTTCATCAACGTTCCCACACTGAGTGTTCTGATCCCTAACCCCCTTCATCTCTCAAAACCTCCGCTGATGCTGCACTCTCACCTTTCTAACCCGTTTCCCACACTACAGCTAAAGTGCTCCTGGCTCTATTTTCCTTAAATCTCTTTCTGGTTCCCTAGTTCCACGTAATGAACATCAACCGGCAGGACAGGGCTGCAAGGATCTT